CCTCTGCTAGAGCGATGAGCTCACTCAGTCTGCCAGTGTTGTCCTCATTCTCATCCCTCTCATCAGACAACACAATTAGTGATTGAACGATGCGACTAGCTCGCGATCTATGCTCATCTAACTTCTTCTCCTCATACCTTGCACGAGCCACCTCTGTGGCATGTTCCTCGCTGCAACCAATCCCTTCATGTATAAAATGCAATCAGTTAGCAACGCGATTATATTACATTTAAAATCAGGCAACGAAAAAAGGCTTTCAAGCACTCACTGGCACATAATGTAGCAGCATGCTCGTTTAAGACCTGCATCTGTACTCTTGTCTCATCCCTTGCCTCATTCCTTGCCCTCTCCTCCTCTAACGTCATCCACCTCTCCAATCCCCATTTGTTAAGCCCAACATCGATCGGGTTACAAATACCGCGCTGTCTAGCAAACTCACGCATCTTTTCTTTGTGATGTTTAACGAATAGGTTGACGTAGTTAGGTCCATATCCCCTCTTCCGTGCAATTAGTTGCATCTTCTTCAGTTCATCCAAGAACTTAGCTTGACCATCATAACATTCCCACCTGCATTTCCTAGTGCTCTGTTCAAAAGAAATATTATATCATATATGTCTTAGCAAAAGAAACAAAATACAATTTCATGTTTACCACAAAAATAACGAACCTCATCATACTCAATCATATGGCCGCAATAATGGCCTATTCCAAGCTCCTAAGGTACTAGGCCATAGTTGGATTTAACACCACATTCGCACATGACAGGAGGTGCTTTGTAGATTACCCTTTCTTTCTTCTTTTCCTTAACCCTCCGTGGTTTTTCTGGTCATTGGTTCTTAGGACCATACAACCACTCCTTGAAACGACACTTCGCCATTGAAAACACCTAAATAATGAGACATTAATACATAAACACATATAGCTTAAGATTTGAACACATACACTTTGCACTTACTTCATGCTTGTTTGGACACACAAACTCCAACGTATTCTCAGGGTTTATCACAGCTCGATCTCCGTAATCGCACAGAGGAGGTTTCTCGAGTCGTCTAACTGCGGCTAGGTGCTTCTCCTTAGCCGTCATTGGCGGAGGGTTAGGGGGGTAGAACCCACCGCTTGAAGTGCTCACGTGGATGTCTCCCTCTAAACCAATCGTCGAAAAAGAGGTACCTAGGATCAAACTTGTCTGCACCGTCGATCCACTGAAAGAAAAAGCACCTCTCATGGTCCTACACAACGAGATTCCAATAAAATATTAGTAGCATACTTACACAAATAAAGAAAAATGATAGTGGAAACAATTTCTTACATTAAAACGACTGCATGTGTAGAAGCAACGCGTCGCTGTGTACGGATGTTTCGATTGAAAAACATGGGTCGGGAAACCACAGTCACAGTTAGGGACAAGGAGGTCAGGAGGGACGGGGGCATCTTTGCTAGACGCGTCGGGGTATAATTCTTAAGGATGGCCCCGTTTTCGCCAAAACTCCTCCCGAAACATTTCTTGCATCTAACAAAACGGATGTAATTTAACAAACATAAATCAAAACATCATAAATAAATGTCAATGAGAACCATAACTACAATACAACCAATTTCGTTCTAAGAACCGAAAGCAGTTAACATTAAACCCTAAACCTAGGGTTTCCTATTTGATGGACAACAATGAACCTATAACATAACTACATGCGCCTAGGTTTGCTAGCTTTTTCCACGCCTTGGCATCATCATACAGTTGTATAATACATATATTGAGGGATACAATGAAACCCTAAGTGATGACGATTATTGCGTTCAAAAATCCGACTAATATATACCGAATCGATGCGAAAAAAACTAGGAGGGGAACGAGGATACCTTGCTCTCGAAGATCTACGGATTAAATCAAGGTTTTCAAGGTCCAATATGCCAATTCGTGAGGTAGGGTGAAGTGGGGAGAGAAAAAACCCGAGAGGGAGGAGAAAGAAGAGGAAGAATGCTCGGGCAGGAAGGTTGGGCCGGGGTTAAATGGTAGGGATCTCGGCGTCAAGATCTACGGCGCTGAGCTCGGCGCCAGAGTGACTGGCGCCGAGATCCCTGCCATGTCATCCACCGAGCCCAGGACCTCGGCGCCAGGGACTCTGGCGCCGAGACATGTTAGCTCGGCGCCAACATCAATGGCGCCAAGCTAAGGGTCCATTTTCTGAATTCTTTCCGCCAGGGGTCTATTTGTGAGAAACTTTCAAAAAAGGGCTAAATTGTAAAAAATTCGGCACATATAGAAGGTTAGGAGGACCGAGAAAACTGAGTTGACCATAATGAGCCTACCATCGTAGAATCTCACAACCTGCTTTAGCCAAAATCTATGATATATAGGAACGTTAGCATTTACCGTTCATGTATATATGAATATGAAAAAGGAATTTTTGCTATAAGAAAGAAGGGTATGGAGATGAAATTAAGTTATTTTTTCTTTTTTTGAGAGAGAGAGCGCTTGGCTATTAGCCTATCGGTAATGCTAGCATTAAGATGTCCAGAAGGCCGGACGCCTCACTCTACGCTCGCTTAATAAATAAATAAACAAAATCAACTCTTGGATGCCTAGCCTCGCTCCGCATGCGCTGCCTGGCCAACGAGCTCCTGTCTCTCGTGCTTCCTTGCTGCTCCGCTCTCTCTCTCTCTCTCTTGCCCACCCCAGCGCGCGCCCTCCCCCACCCCGGCGTCCTCCTCCCCCACCCCAACGGCTCCTTCCCCCACCCCGACAGCGCCCCTCCTCATACCCCGACGTTCGCACCCACCGGGAGCCCCAATGTCGTAGATCCAGTGGCCCTCTCCCTCCACTCCGGCAAGATCCATGGAGATTGTGCGTCGATATTGCAGGGGATTGGACGGCTCTCCCCCACCACAGCGCAGCGCTTTCCTCACCCCCGACAGCGCCCTCTCTCACACCGGCGACCGAGTTCCCCCACCTCGACGGCCATGGCACTCCTCCCCCCATCCCCCACCGTCGCCGTCGAGCCAAGCCCAGTACTGGTGGCGGTGGTGCTCGTGCAGGCGCTCGCCGCCGTCTCTCACCCCGACGATCGGAATCGACCGGCCCAGCCTTTCCCCTCCTCTATGTTGCATATGTATGTTTCAAGTATTTCAGGTGTTTAAGATGTATATTGCAATTATTTTATATGGATGTTGCAAAAGTAGATCAGGGGATGTTGCACATGTTGCATATGTTGTAATTGTTTCAGAGGCATGTTGCAAGTGTATGTTTTGAGTGTTTCGGATGTTTCAGAGGTATGTTGTAAGTATTTTAGATGGATGTTGCAAAGTAGATCGGAATGTTGCATATGTTGCAATAGTTGTACGCGTATGTTGCAAAGGTCTGTCACCAATGTTTTTTATATGTGTTTCTGGACGCATGTTGTAGGTGTATTTATCTGGATGTTGCATATGTTTCACACATATATTGCATGCGTTTTATTTAGATGTTGCGTATGGTTGCAATGGTTTTTAGGTGTTTTTTTCAAGTGTTCTAGAAGAATGTTTTTAGGTGTTTTTTTTCAAATGTTAAAACTGTTGTATTTCGATGTTTCAAAAGCACATCAGGTGTTGCAACTCTCCTCCCCATCTTTTGCGACATCATCTAGATATGACCTTCTCCCGACGCCGACAGGGCATCCATACAACACCACGACCAGATCCTTCTAAATCAGAGGCGCCATCCCCTTCTCCTCTTATTGCTCCGGTGGCATGAACCCTCTTTGGAGCGCGCGAAACGGAGTGCACCGTGTGGACTTGCGGATGTCACGTCCGGACGCTAGCATTAACGTTAGCCTCTTAGTAACAACAAGCAAACGATGGCACACAGCGCCCAAACTTCCTGTCCAATAGAATGGCTTGTCCTGTCACTCTCTGTCCGCTCACCAGCCCCAAGTTGACCCTTTCCTTCACGACGATGAGACTCGCAGTCGCAGACGCTGCCGCGGTCCCTGCGCGACCATCAAGGTCATGCTAGACGGGCTCACCCAGCAGATCAGGCCGCCGCCGTTGTCCTCGCGCTCGCCCGCCCATCTCCCCTGCCTAGCCATCCATCTTCCGTCGTCAACTGCGAGGAGGCCGTCGTGCGCGCGTCAACGCCTTCGGTCGGTGCCCGAGGTTTCCGGGTCCAACGAAACCGCGATGCAGGTACGACTCTGACGATCCAAAATGTGATTTCTACTAAAATTCGACCCAGATAGTGGGATTTGTTGATGTTGAAAATCAACAGGAGTCGTCAATGACCCCCAGGAGTTCATAACTAGTTTTTGAATAAACTAGCAAAGGCATAATATTTTTGAATAAACTAGCAAAGGCATAATACTCCAATCTCGAAAACTAGCAAAGGCATAATACTCTAATATCTTTGGAGCTCGTGTGGCTGGTTTGCAAGAAAATTATATAGCAAGACATAATTACAAACCTAGATGCAAAAAAGTATAGATGAAAGTAAACAAATGTAATAATAGATTTGTTTTGTGTTTTGTACCGTTGAATCGCTGTCACTCTATATTTACATACAGCCATACAGGACGTCTAGACGACTAGGTCCATCCCTGATAATATAAACTGAGTCAGTCGCTTGTGCCTCGTTCTCCAAACCGAATCAAACTCTATACAGCCATACATGAGTACATAATAAGATCTCAGACAATGCGTCAAATTGCAACCCGTCCTGTAAAGCAACATGACTGTGACACTTCATTCTTTCCATATGTATATACTTGCGTATATATCAGCCTTCGTGCCTTCTTTTTATTCTTCCTTTCACCAGACAATCTGCTATGTGCTAACTTCAGATATTCAGCACCAACCAGTCGGTGTTAGCAAAATACTTGTTCATGGGCCTAATTTAGGTGTTAACAAGATTCTGTGCTGTTCAGCTTTGGTATGAAATAAACCTAGTGTATCGAATGATTCCATGATATTGATCACTATCTTGACAACCTTGGTAGGCACCACCGAGGTAGGGAGGGACAAAGTACAGACAAATGGAAGGGCTTCTGGTGAGCGCAGCAACGGGGACATTGAAGGCCGTCACCGTGAAGCTGGCAACTTTGCTTGGTGACGAGTTCAAGAACATGAAAGATGTGCGCAAGGAGATCAACCCTCTCTCTGAGGAGTTTAATTGCATCCATGCCTTCCTCGTGGAGATGTCGAAGGAGGATAATCTTACTGACAAAGAAAAGATATGGATGACTAAGGTGCGGGAGATGTCCTATGACATTGAGGACAGCCTCGATGACTTTATGATTCATATTAATAATGACGACAAGTCTGCTAAGGCGAACGGCCTGAGCCTGATAAAGAAGTGCAAGAGGTTGTTGGATATGATGAAGGCGCACCAACAGATCTCCAAGGCTGTACATGATTTTAAGACACGGATCAAGGAGGTGGGAGACAGGATCCAGAGATACAGAACTGGTGTCAAGAGCACCTGCAGGGACCCCAATGAGGTGGTTGACAGTCGAGCTCTTGTTATCTTTCAGGAAGCATCAGAGCTTGTGGGCATCGATGAGCCTAAGAATGAGTTGATCAGCTTGTTGACAGAAGATGGATCTTCATCTCAGCATCAGGTGAAGGTGGTCTCCATTGTTGGATTTGGTGGACTAGGCAAGACAACACTTGCCAACCAAGTGTTCCAGTCACTTAATAATAAATTTGATTGTCACACCTTTGTAACAGTGTCACGAAATCCTGACATGATGAAAGTATTGAGAACTATTCTCAGTGACAATAGTGGGCAAGAGTACACTAACACACAAGCTGGGGATGTACAACATCTTGTCAAAAAAATATCCAATTTCCTTCAAGATAAAAGGTATCCGAGCAAACAGATCATTTATTAGACCATATGTTCAGTAGTATATGATTATGTGTGAAATGACTATGCACGTGTCAACTATGTTTGCTGACATCTCATTTTACATTACAAGATCTCCAGCATACTAATTCTTAGACATATCTATGCGTAATTACGGGTTTGTCATCTATTTGTACCTGTGCATTTTACATATACAATTTTTTGCCCTCCATTTGATCTTAAAAGTTACTTCATCGTTACTATTTTGATTTGATGATAACTAGTTCATTGGCCTGTGTGCCTGTATGATAGACTTGCATTTTTTTTTTTGAAAAATACATGAAAAATACAACTTTGCGAAATGATTATAATTTAGGATATATGATTGTTTGAAATGACTACGCATGTCAACTATGTTCCCTTACAATAATTCTCCACAGAATCACATTCTTATGCAAATATATTTTTCTTGGTTTTCCTCATTCATGATGCACTGCAGATAGCAGAATGTTTTCTTTTTGATTGGTTTCTGAACTTTACCTTATAACTGAGAGAGACCTAAATAATTGGTATTTAGGTGGAAAACACATAGAGCAATACAATTTAGAAACAAAATACTGGAGGTATTTTGATTTGGTTTCTAATAGCAAAAATAGATAATTTTGAAGTGGAAATTAGGGTTATTTTGGGGTTTCTTTAGGAATGAACGCGTTGGTAATTTAGAAACATGAATTAAGGGCGCTTTAGGTACAATAATAGGATGGTAGTATTTTAGCAATGGATATCAATGTACTCTTGGTTAAATTTTCTGTAGGGTAAAGATAGGTGCTTTATACAGATTGAGATTAGATCCCTATCATTCTCAATTATGATTAGAATCTAAAGACGAGAGTTAGATGTCTTCCTTTTTAAAAAGAAAAAAAAACTAGGATTCCTTTGTCTTTCTAACACACTTTGTGAGGATTAACACAAAGACTCTGTCTCCAATTATAGTAAGATAAGATTTATTACCAATAGAAGCATTATCTCCTATACAGAAATAATACATTGATGCAAAAGTATGATTGAACTTCCACCACATATTTGTACCAGAACTGGAGAAAACCTAGGTTGTAAGTAAACATTCACTTTTTACACCACAAATTCAAGATTATATCTGTCCAAAACCTCCATGTTCCATTATTGATTTTATTATACTTTAACAAGCTATCCTTACTCATAGACTTTATGAACCTAATTTGGCAAGTACTTAATTGTTGTGGATGATTTATGGGATTTAAAATCATGGGAAACCATTAAGTATGCTTTTTATAAAAAATAGTTGTGGCAGCAGAATTATCACAACCACGCGTGTAAATGAAGTAGCTGAATCGTGTTGCTCTTCACATTGGGGTCATATGTATACAATACGTCCTCTTAATGCTGCGAACTCTAGAAGATTGTTCTTGAAGAGAATATTTGGTTCTGAAGAAGCATGCCCATCACACCTCACTGAAGTTTCTGATGATATCTTGAAGAAATGTGATGGTTTGCCTTTGGCAATCATAACCTTAGCTGGTTTGTTGGCAGGCAAATCACCAACATTTAATGAATGGAACAAAGTTCAAAGTTCGTTTGGTTATGCACTTGAAAGACAATCAGATGTCAATATAATGATACAAATATTGTCACCGAGTTACTTTCACCCTTCCGCCTCACCTACAAAGCTGTCTTCTGTATCTTAGTATATTCCGAGAAGATTACGAGATTCGAAAGGAGCGATTGGTACTAAGATGGATTGCTGAGGGATTCATTCGTGAAGATGGCTTCACCCAATATGAGCTAGGGGAGAAGTGTTTCAATGAGCTCATAAACAAAAGCTTGATTGAGCCATGGACTTCAAAAAGATCGGGTACACTGATCTCTTGTCGAGTTCATGACACAATTCTTGAGTTCATTGTGTCCAAGGCTATGGAAGAAAACTTTGTTACTCTATTTGGTGTTCCAAACATAACAGTTGATCCACGAAGGAAGATTCGGCATCTCTCTCTCCAGACAGGAATGAAGTCGGTGATGGTTCAGTAGGCTTACGGGAGAATATGTTGTATTCTCATGCCCGTGCAGTTTCAGTGTTTCCAGGCAGTCTTGATAACCTTCCATCTCTGCAGAAGTTCAAACATTTGCGTGTTTTGGATTTAGAAGACTGTGAGGGACTACAAGCCCACCGTCTGGCACATGTGGGCGGTTTATTTGCACTGAAGTACTTGAGCTTGCATCGAACATGGATAAATGAGCTTCCTGAAGAAATTGGAGAGCTGCAGTATTTACAAACACTGGATTTAAGAGTTCCCATATAAAGAAGCTTCCATCCAGTATTGTTTGCCTTGCACGGTTGGTCAATCTATTGTCTAGTTCTGGTGTGCATTTGCCAGATGGATTCAGGAACATGCAAGCCTTGCAGTGGTTGGAAGACGTCAGTCTGGAGTCAGATACCTAACTTCACGCAGGAGCTCTGTCAGCTAAGAAATCTAAGAACACTAAGGGTATGGACAGATGTGTTTACCAAAGATTTGGCCTCATCTCTATGTACACTTGGTATGGGAAGCCTAAATTCTTTGACTATAGGAACCAACGAAGAGTCCATGAACTTTGTGATGGAGCCATGGAACCCCAGCCCCATCAACCTCAAACTACTTGAAATATTGGGTATTCAGCTCCCGAGGATCCCTAGATGGATCGGCTCACTTGACAACCTGCAGCATTTGGGGCTCAATGTTGACCAACTTGGGCCTGCAGATGTTGGTTTACTCGGGCGCTTAAGCGCTCTGTCGAGCCTCTGTCTCTGGGTAATGATTGAAGTAGCCGACAGATTATCCTCTTCTCAAGAAGCACAACGGGTTAAGATCAGTGGGGCACATGGATTCCCAAGCTTGAGAATGTTCTGAGTTGGTTCGATTAACTGTGGGTTTGGATTGTTGTTCGAAGTTGGGGCCATGCCAAAGCTACAAGAGCTCAATCTCGAGTTCAGCAGAGATAAAACCGGGTCTCTCACCAATGGAGAATTTGATTTCGGTATCTAGCATCTCCCTTGCCTTGCTATTGTAAGACGTGACCTTGGTTACTTTATAAATGCAAACTATGAGCCCGAGCACCCCGCATGGGATGCTGTTAAGAATGCAGTCAGTTCCAATCCTAACCATCCCAGGTTGTATCATGGGTTGTAGTGACAACAGAGCAGAATTACTAGCTACAAGCACCAACAACCATCTTGGACAAAAGACTTTTTCTTCTCCACCGCATTCTAATTTATTTGTTTGTATTACACTTCATAGAACTTACTTATGCTGATTTTATATGTTTTATATTATTGTTACTTTATGTTTTACATGCTTCAGCCAAACCGAATTCTCGCTATATTCCTTTTATTTCCCATGAAATCAATGCCATCTTCTGGAAATCCTTGCTACGGTACAAAGTCTACTAAATGAGAACATTTGATTCCATACAGATTCTTCAGCTACGAGTCCTATGATCTTCACATAATAAGATTGATCTGTTCTATTATTATGAGTTCTATGGTTGTTCTTCAAAGTACACTCTGTGTTCAGATCTAGCGCAAAGCCTGAATCTCATCCTTCTGGTGTTGGATTACAGACATGCTCCTCTAATCAGAATGTTCAGTGTAATAAGAAATTTCCATGTGATTGGTTTGGTGTGCGTGCCTCTAAAAAGGAGGAGCAAATTTGTGTTTAACTGGTATGTCTGGACCAAGTCATGGGTGAATAATGTCCACAATTCAATTATACAGTGTCGAAAACTTACTACACATTTTGGGCTGCTTGGTTGGGTTCCAAAATTTACCAAGCCAAGCAGAGCATACCTAGACATTTTGGCTATCAATTGGTGTCCACAATTCAATTATATAGCGGCGAAAACTTCCTACAAATTTTGGGCTGCCTGGTTGGGTTCCAAAATTTGCCAAGCCAAAATCAGAGCATACTAGAAACTAGAAATTTTGGCTATCAATTGGTTTAGCAGCAGTTTTTTTGGCCAAAACCACGGTAAGTTTCTTAAACTTTTTAAAGCTCACAAGAGGGAAAAGGATATGGCTATCATATTTTGGCACTAAAAATATGCCTTGATTTTTTGCATCCATTTTTTGCCCTCATTTTGGTCAGCCCTAATTTTGGCTTGCCATGGTTTTTGCTAAGCAGGTTTTTGAACCCGAACCCAACCAAACAAGCTCTTCATTTAGTCAGTCTCTGTCAGTCCTAGGTTACACACCAACAGAGAGGCACATACACATTGGGTACTCAAATTGCAGAAACACTTTTTGAGAGTAATGAACCAAGTGCATCCCCAATGTCAGAGCCAGATCTGAAAACTGATGGCAAAGCACAAACATCAACAATGCTATAGAATTTTAATAGATACTCATTAATGTACACATCATAATCCATAGAACAAAGATAAACTTGTGTAGGCTCATTGCAAGTTGCAACAAGAGGCAATGCCACCACACTAAACCACGCAAGCAAGCTCTAGTTCACCATAGGATACACAAAGACATAACACAGTAACACTTGCTACCCCACATCTCAGTTTATACTAGATATAATTGATTATGTAGTTTCCATTCCATTTCATCTTCTACTGGGAGGGGATAGGCTGCATCTCTGGTGCTGGGGCAACGTCAGCCATGGGGTACGCGAACACCCGGGCGAGCCGCTCAGTGGGCACAAGCGGGAGATAGGTGGCCACGGTGTTCCCACGCTTGGCACCGTCACGCACCGCTGAATTGTACCTGGCTGAGAGCTGCGCGGCCGTGGGGAGGACAGCCCTGGTGACTGAAGGCACCAGCGGGAGGCGGTTCAGGGCCACCCAAGCCTCAGCTGCACGGCGCTCTGCCACGGGCTCATAACGGGTGTAGAGCTCCCGGGCCTTTGGCTCCGCACGGGCAATGGCTGACTTGGCGAGGCCAGTAGCCGTGCCCACCAGGCCGGCCTGACGGACCTCCTTTGCAGCCGAGCGGGCAAGGGTTGGGGCTTCCTTGACCACTGGAGGGACACGGCGGTCAATCTCCTCAACAGACTCGCCAACCTGCAAGTGGGGGACAGAACATGCAAATCATGAATCCATCAGTGACACACAAATCGGATGTCAAAACAGTGTAAGAAATTGACAAACACAGTGACTTCAATATGCAATGTGTATTAGTACAATATAAGGGGTAATGACTATTGAAACGTCCACACTTGCAAGAAGTGCATGAAAATCCTGGGCACAAGTGACAACTTTACATAGGTAGGCAAATTCAAGGCGCTGATGAATGTCCCTGAAACATCAGCTAAAAGTGGACCGAGCTGATTAATCAACTACATCAACAAACTTGTCCAGAGGTTATGTGTGTTAGTAGTGTTTACACCAATTTAGTATAGTTCCTAATAAAACTGACCAGAAAAGAGTGCTTGTAATCTACAAGCAATAAGCCTCAAATCTTGGCTAAACAAATTTTGTTTGGTTCATCAATCATGCTTGATGCTTCTGCCTTGCAAAATCCCAATTTGCTACTCTAGTTGTCAAATTAATCGTACCATGATACCAATGTCTTGAGACTTACAGTTTATGTAACATCAAGAACATGTTTCTAGCAACAGGTCAATTAATATCATCCAGAATAACCTATCCAAACCCTTAACCACAAGGCCAAATTGACAAGATTTCAACTAAAAAATGATACCAATGCCTTAGCAATTAAACCTTTTGAGACTGACAGTATACGTGACAACAAGAACATATTTCTAGCAACAGGTCAATTGATAGCATCTAGAATAACCAATCCAAACCCTTAATAAGGCTAAATTGACTAGATTTCAACTCCAAAAATTTGACAAAATTCCATCCAGGAAATCTACACCTGCGAATTTCATTTCATTCAACTCATCTCCTAATTTGTAGCACAATTTCAGCATACAAAGATAAAGCCAAATCAGACTAGGAGACCCCTCCTCCTTACCTTGCGGTCGATGAACTTGAGCAGGTCAAGCGGGACGGCGTGGAAGCGGTCGTACACCGGGCCCACGACGGCCTTGACGGTGCCCTCGACATGGTCAACGCCGGGGCGGAGCGGGCCGGCGCCCTGCTTGGCGTACGCGTAGGCCGCGGCCGCCAGCACCAGCGCCTGCGCCGCCGCCTGCTGCACGAACTCGAGGTACCGCAGCCTCTCCTCCTCCTCCTCCGACGCCGTCGCCGCGGCCCTCTCCACCGTCACCTCCTCCTGACCAAACCAAATCAGACAAAAGGCGTGAGAATCCACGCCTGCAAACCCGGCCAAATCGAATCGAGAACGAGGAGCGCCGCTTACCTCCGTGGTGGGCTGGGTGTTGGCGACCGGGGCGTCGTTGGCGGTGGAATCGGCCATGGCTCTTCTCCGCGGGGGATGGATGGATCGACGATGGATTGGGAGATTTTGGCTTCGGTTCGTCGGGGATTCTGGGTTTTCTTCGGATTTCGATTTCGGGGACGCGTTGTGTGATGAGGAAAAGTCGGGGTGGGGAATGGGGTCGTTTTATAGGTAGGAAACTCGCGGCGAATTCAGTTCATTGACGGTTCGAATGACTTTTATTTTTATTATAATAAATGAATTGCTTAACTGAGGCGTCTGTCTGTTCTGCTTCCCTTGCAGCGGCTGGCGAAGCGTCCCGCGACCGCGTGGTGACGTGGCGGCTTCTAGAAGGGCAGGCGCCGCTCGTGTGGCTGGGGGTGGGGAAACGGTTGACGTGGGGCCCGCAAGTCGGTGGGTGGGGCGGTGTGGGATGTGACATGGGGGCGGCTCGTGTTCACACGGTAAACGGTGTGAACGCCGTCCGCTGGGTTTTCCTTGTCAGCTGGGTTTTTTGGGTTCTTTTTTATCAGTATATACAGCTATATTTGTTGGGAACAACCATAGAAGGTTAAGCGAAGGTTCTGGAGTACAGGCAACGATTCCTCCATACGATGAGATCAGGAAGGTAACGCGCACTCGCTTTATGCGATCAGCTCAATCCCCCATAATAGCCACAGCAAATCAGGAAGGCAAAAATCAATTCCCATAACAGCCGCAGTAAATCAGAAAGGCAAAAATCATGAAAATTCCTAGACCATTTTTTATGCAGTACTCTAAGACTCAACGGGTGATTGTGTGCCTTATCAGTCACGGTCTCTGTGGCTATCAAAAAATTGAAGTTATCTTCGACATGAATCATACATTATGCATCGCTTCTCTGACTGAAACACCTAGCTAATCAAGTTAATTACAAAATATGTCAAGGTGCCCAGTACACCTCTGATGCGGTCGTTGCTTTATTTTGCCCTTGATTACAGGCTTTATATACTAGGCATGCCACATAATATAGTATTTATTTGATTTTTCAGGATAAGACATTAATACCTGTTGTATGCATTTTAGGTTCCTGAAGGTACCTAGAGAGATTCTTTTCTGGTGAATGATGTTGTGTTCAAGAAGACATTTTCATATGCTGGATTTGAGCAGCAACCAAAGAAGTTCCTGAATCCGAAGATTCTTTTGTTAACATTGAACTATAATTGAAATCTGAGAAGGAAAATGCAGAGATCAGGTGTCTGTACGATTCACTCAAGGCCCACTTGCTACAGAACAGAATGTGTGCTCCATTCTTTACTTATGTTGCTTTATATGCTTTTCAATGTTTGCTCATACTGGCTCCATGTTTCCAACATACCTGTAGAATATCTGACCCTCTGCAATACCAATCAATTGTTGATGTTGAATGAACATTATTTATGATAAACTGGATAAATGTGTGAAACCGAGTGTTTTAAGTATTTTTGTTAGGTATATTATATCTCTTACAAAAGCGTATGGTTTACCACAAAATTCTAAACACAATACATGGACTCGGGTGCGGGTGTCTGTGTCAGGGTCGGG